AGTTGCTGGAAAGCCTCGCATGCAAGATTCTGACTACACTGTGAAACGCCTATGCTTCCCCCTGGAAAACTAACTTCCTATAGAGAACAGTATTGGATGTACGTATTCCATTTTTTTTAATATATTTTTTTTATTGATTTTGTACAGAGAGGAAGGGAGAGAGATAGAAAGCTAGAAACATCGATGAGAGAGAGTCATCAATCAGCTGCCTCTTGCACACCCCCTACTGGGGATATGCCCGCAACCAAGGTACATGCCCTTGACCAGAATCAAACCCGGGACCCTTCAGTCCCCAAGCCGACGCTCTATCCATTGAGCCAAACCGGTCTCGGCATGGATGTACGTATTCCTTCTCTCTGCAGACGCACATGGACATTCTCTGTTTTAGCATCAGGGAAAACTCAAATTGGGTGGAGTTTAATGTAAGAAAACTTCTTCCGAGGGCACCCATAGTTCATAGCACATTCTGAGGAAAGGATGGACCTAACTGGTCAGTCCAAGTAGGACAGAAATATCCAAGGAAATCTGCCAGGAGGAGGGCCGATGAGGAGGGCCCAGGAGAAAGGACACTGAAGTTCTTTCTGTGAATTTGGTTCCTGTCTCCACTAGTGAACAGATAGAATTTGTTGTCCTATCTATACTGGTGTTTTCCTGGTGTCCTGATTCTGAACACACCATATACGAATCGCTACACCATAAGAGCAGGATGGAGCAAATTGCAAAAGGCTAAGATATAGAAATAGACCTTGTGCCAAGTGCAACTGCTGTGAGCCACACATAGATGCTGACACCCAGACCACTGGATGGGCTGTGAGAACAGAGATATTATAGGAATGTTGGTTATATATGTCTGTGTGTGTGTGTGTGTGTGTGTCGGGGCTGGGTTGGGGAAAATATAATCAGACATAACACATCCATGTGGTATGTGTGATCCAGTGACTCCATATGTCATTTCTTGTGCACAGCAACTCTAGAAGGCAGGTGCCTATGATCAAAGAGTGAATCTAAAAGAAGCAATGGGCACCAAGAATGCAGCAGGTAAATGGGTGAGCAGAGGGCAGAGCCCCATCACCACTGAGATGAGCCCAGAGGACAGGAATCACAAGTTTGGGGCTGCACTAACAAAGGCAGACCAGGGCTCTCATTCTAAAGAGACAAATCTCCCAAAGCATATTGTAAGAATGGGGCTTGGGCACAGGAATGCATAACATAGCCTTTAGTGGAGCTCAGGTGTGATGTGGATAGTATAATGTATTGGAGCTCCTGATCTATAGGGTGACCATGTAAATTTATAAAAAATCCTCACTTGAGGATGTTTTTATTGACTGATTGAGAGAGAGAGAAAAGAGAGAAACTTCAATTGGTTGCCTCCTGCATTCACCAACTGGGAATTGAATCTGCAATCCAGGTATGAGCCCTGATCCGGAATCAAACCCACAACCTTTTGGTGTTTAGGACAATGCTCCAATCAACTGAGCCGCCCAGGTTGATCATGTAAATTTTAATTACAAACTAGAAATGGGAATCTTATTAATAATTATGCTAGGACAACAGGCATAAACTAAGAATGTTCCAGAAAATTGGGACACAGGATTCCTCCAATTAAACATCATCTAGCCTTAGTGAATCCACAGGCAGAATTCAAGTAAACATGACCAATAAAGGGGAAGAATGTGGTTGAAAACCTGACTTAGGAGAGACTGTATTTCTACTCTTTCCTTTGGTTTTAATATTCTAAGAGATGACATTAAAAATAAAATCAGAGATCCTAGCATATATTTAATTTTCATTTCTTCTCTCTTAACTCCTAGCCAGAAGCTAAAAATGATTGTTCCTGCAACAGCACGGGGCATGCAAACTCATAAAAAGTTACTCCCCAAGACAAAAAACCAAGAGGGTCAATTTGCCTGGTCAGCGGCAAGATGGGGGCTGGTCTCAATGACAAACTCCGCTAACTCCCTGCTAGTTCCAGCTCAGAGACGACCACGCTGATGGTGATGCCCACAGGATTTCTGCCTTCGGTGCATTAGAAGTCTCAGAGACAGAAAAAAGGAAATCAGATGTTTATCACCAGACTGGTTATGATGTCACTCCAGAGGATGCTCATTGTTAGCAGATGCACTTTCTAAGAGAAAGGCCTCTAAAGGGAATGTTCCTGATCCCCAGTGTAATCAAAGAATGAATCGGTAGCTGTCTCCAAAGGCTGCCATCTTAGCTTCCGGCTGCCAGTGTGATCTGGGCCTCAGTAATACTATCCTCAGAAAGCAGGCAGGGCTTTCTCAGATGCTTTAAAAGAGACTTTTTGAACAGTCTGACACGCCGGCAGGCCAACGCTGCGGCATTTATTATTCCTGAGCTCCCAGGGGTTGACTTTGAAGACCAACCTGGCACCGGGAAGCCATTTCCATTAGTGAGATATTCAGAAGGGCGATTTCAATAGCCGTATGTCTGGGGAGAACAGAAATGCTGAATGCTGGCTCTACTTTTTACAGTGAGGCCTTGTACCCTCTTGGTTGTATTAACAGTTGAGTGTGCTTTAGGCTCGTAAAACTCACTCCACCCTCTTTCTGTTCAAAGCTTCTCATCAAAGTTTATATTTGCAGGGATTGAGAGGATTATATAAATCAGTGTGGAAGGTCAGCCTGGCCTTAAGTTAATGAACATCATGCCCCTAAGCAGAGTTCAGGATGGCCATGGTGGAGCAGGCACATCAAGGGGAAAAGACATCCAGAAGGGCCTTTGTGCCACAAGCAGTTTCAACTCTCCCCACAAATTCACAGGTTTCTTCCTTTCTTTTCATTTTTTTTATTTTTTGCTAGTGCTTATTCACTATCCAACATCCCATACATTTTACTTATATTTTGTTATTACTACTGCACTACATGAAGTCAGAGTTCTGTTTTGTAAATGCCTCTGTTCCTAATGCCTGCTGCATCACAAATGCTCAATAATACTTGCTGAATGAATAAATGGTGGAAAATAAACACACACACACACACACACACACACACACACACACACACACACCCCCGCCCGCCCATAGGAACGTAAGTTATTCATTGAGTTTTCCCTTCAGATATAAAGTAACCAACTGAGAAGAAAAGTCCTCCAAACTCTACTTCCGGGTTGAAAGGGACTCTATTGAAAGAAAGGAGTTTGGATGTGGGGCTAACAGACAGGAGAATGTTTTAAAGAGCCAGACCATCACCTAAGAATCAGACTATAAAAATGTAATATTTCTTAAATTTCTGAAATTTATCACACCTGTGAGTTTTGCTCTATGCGTCTCTCTTTACAACAATAAATTCTTAAAACAAGTAAACCAAAAAGGTTCCATGACAACCCATAAGTAGAAAATGTTGTGACTTAAATAAAAAGAAGCATCTTAAGAAATCAATGGAACAAGGAGTTTTAACAGGAAAGAAAGGGTAGGGGAAGGGGAACAGTGCACTAAACTCCAAGAAGGAACCGAGAAATAACCACTTGTAAACGTAAGAGACACATGGAGAGAAAGTAGGACTTGAGACTCCCCATAAAATGGTGGAAACAAAACTAATCCCAACCAGGACAGACAGTGTCCCCAACACCCTCTTCTCCATCATCTCCCAATCTAAGCAGCTGCTTAATCCTGCTGGTGTTTCCACTTCTGTCATATTTTCAAAGCAGGCTTTCTTTTCAATCCCTAAAGCCATTGGCTTAATTCAAAGGCTTGTCATCTTCCTGTAGGAAGGAATGGCCAAGTCACTCTGTCTCTAGGATGACTTCCCTGGAATCTATCTTTCCCTAGTGCCCAGCACCAAGTCTGCCAGACGCTGCCCCTGAGCCTATTAGAATGATGCCCGTCAAGTTGTATTTTCAGACCATTCTCCAGTGATGTGCACAAATGTTCACAGGAGGCCTAAGTGTGAATTCCATAGTTAGAGACTGTACAGAGATAATGCCTGTCTTACTGACAGCCGAACCTCTAACAACTAGCTCAGTGCCTAGGCTCCACATATGTAATGCCTGTTCCACAAATAAATAGAAGTAGAAAATCATTATGTAAAACTGTGGAATGCAATCCTAATAATGTAACACACACACACACACACACACACACACACACACACACACACACAAAAAAAAAAAAAAATTATCCAAAAAATACATTATTTATTTATATAATTTATGCACTTTTTAACTTTCTAAATTACTGTTAAAATTCTCTCTCTCTCTCTCTCTCTCTCTCTCTCTCTCTCTCTCTCTCTCTCTCGATACAAAAGTACACACAGAAACAAAAGGGAGTAGAGAAAGAATCATGTACCTGACAAATCAGATAGCAGTGTGGGGTATAATGGGAGGTGTAGCACCCTTATCATCTACACCCAATTCTTCATCTTCCACCCCTGCCCCTGCCCCACTTCTGCTCTCTCCCGGCCACCCAGGACAGTGAGCTGTGCCAAGCCACACCGCAGCCTTCCCATATATACTTGCTGTCTACTCTCACTCCACTATCCTGTTATGCCCAAAGCCACAGTCTGAGTCCCTGCTATCTTTTCATTTCCAGGGCAAAGCACAATTCCTTATACAAAGGAACATTGTATGTTGATGGAGTAAATTAATACCTGAATAAGGCAGAAACACTGACTGTGTGGCCCACTTCTTTCATTTATTCTAAAATCATACCTACCGAACAGGGTTGCTATGAGGACTAATGAGAAAATGCTTATAAGACATGCCTGACACATAAGCACTCAAGAAAGAAAAATATTTACTAACTATTATTGACAGGGTGATGTACAAGATGCTTTGCTCCCTTAGCCAGAATCATCTTAAATTGCACATAATAGTTCCTGCCCTGCTCCTCTCACCCCTTGAGGTGAGAAAGTGCTTAAAGCAGTTTGGGAACTATAAATCACGAACAAACACATATTATTATCATGATGATAACAACGATGATTACATGCCATTTTCTTTGTGAATCTTCCCTACAATAAGCTTATCATTTAAAGTCACCTTACCTTTGCTGAGGTTTCAAACCATCCTACGAAACCGTGCTCCTTGCAGAACTGGTCCATCTTGAGGCCGTTGTTCAGGAGCATATCTTTGCCCTGGTCACATTTGTTGGCCAATAAAACCACTGATACTGGTTTGCCATTAGGGAGACTTAACTTGGAGTCCAGATCATTTTTCCATTTGGTCACTGCTTCAAATGTAGCTGGCCTGGTGACATCGAAGACAATGAATGCACCCATGGCTTCTCGGTAATAGACCCTTGTCATGTTTCCAAATCTTTCTTGACCTATCACCAAAAAGAAATAGAAATAAAAAACTTATTTCAATTATAAGCAATATATATATATATATATATATATATATATATATATATATATATATATAAACCTTATGAGGCCTCTGGTATGAGCCGATCTCTCAGTAAAGTGATTCACTGTTTATCTTTAAGGAATGAGCTAACTACGCAATCATGCTACTTTGTTTTTTATCTTTGAGTCTAGAGAGGATTCATTCATTTAAAAAGTATTTATTGAAACTTCTGTGTAACCATGTAATAGTCTAGAACTGTGCTAATACAATCTCCCACTACCACATATGACTACTTAAGTTTAAAGTAATTAAAAGTAATTATAATTTAAAATCCAGCTCCTCAGTCACACTATCTAGTAAAATTTAAGTATTTAACAACCACAGTGGCTAGTGGCTACAGCATTACACACTTCCAATCCAGAATATTTCTATTATCATGGAATGTTCTATTGGATAATGCTTTCCTCAATACATGGGATACAATGATTAAAACATGAATTTCCTGCCATCATGGAGATTACATTTAAGCGGGATGATACATTATAATAAAAAATATAATAAATAATATAGTATGTTTAAAAAGTACCCACAGTGAACTCTAATTAATGATAATAGTAATAACTAGCATTTATTGTATTGTTACTAACCATCAGAAATATAACTTACAGAAATGATCATGAAGGTACAATTATTATCCCCATTTTAAAGTGAGAAAAACGAGACTTGGTGAGGCTAAGTAATTTGTTGAAATTGAACAAATTAATGAACTTTGGAGGTTGGGATTCACATCTAAACTTTTTTAATCCAGAGCCCACAGTTATTTAGGAGAACTGAATATTCTCAACGAACAGTCTGTACTAGTTCTCCTCCAGGTTTATGTACCAGGAGTGTCCCCTCCAACTCAAGGGAACAGATAACAGATATGTATGTGTCTATGCCAGTCTCTGGATAACATGCTAGGAATGCAACACGAACTAGATGATCTCTATCATAAGTAATCTACAATCTATTGGATTAAAAAAGAGAGGAAAAAAAGAGAGGAAAAAAAGGAAGAGGGAAGGAAAGAAGAAAGGAAGGAAAGAAGGAAGGAAGGAAGGAAGGAAGGAAGGAAGGAAGGAAGGAAGGAAGGAAGGAAGGAAGGAAAAGATTATTGGTCTTTTTTAAGACCAATCAGCTAGAATCAGTTTTGCTCTGATTCATAATTTTCTAACGAATATTTGCAAGATTATTACACATTCTAAGTTTAGCCTTCCTCTTTGACAAAATGGCAACAAGAATATGCAGCTCAAAAGGTTTCCATAAGGATGAAACAAGTTAACATGTGTAAAGCATCCAGCACAGTATCTTAGAACTACCTGGCACTTAAATTTTCCCTCCCTTTCTCCAGCATGTTAAAAATTATGAAAGACAATATGATATGGGCAGTAAAATCATGTTGCAGACCAGAGCTTATAACAAAAGTTACAGGTATTTCAGCTGATTAACAAAAGAGAACAAAAATCCTACTGGTTGTCACTCTGTCCACTAGTAGTTGCTAAAGACAGCTAATGAAAACTGGTTTTAAATTTCCTGAACCAAAAAACCCCAGAAGTATATGATCAAAGGCCTTTTATTCTGTCTTGAGAATTTATTTTCAGAGTCTTACAAAGTTAAACAAATGAAAACAAAGGTAGGTGTGCATTTAATAAGCCAACTCCTCTTAGAAGAAAATGCTGAAACTGGTATGTGTCTAAAAGCATACAGGTCAGCACACCTCTGAGAACACTTTACACTGAACTTGGAGCTCCTGGTTTTGTGATGATGAGTTTGAACTCAAGTTACCACACTCTCTTGTAGGTTGCTATGTTTATATTGGCACTTGCATTGTGGATTGTAAGGGGAAAATGATCCATAAACCACAGGCACTTACTGGAAATGGATGAAGGTCAATGGTTCCCATCCTGGTGTGGAAGCCTGTGTGCTCGGAGCATTTGTCAGAGCCAAACACGAGGACCCTAAAACAATTCTGCTGGGGGGTATACCACAGAAGCAGTTTTAGTGGTATCTCCACAGTCATCCAGTCAATGAAAGAGAGGGGTATAATACTCTTTATATGACACACAACTCACGGGTAAACGTTCCATTTTCCCAAATGAGTTTCACATTTCTTTTTTCTTTTTTTTGGTTTCTGATGCAAAGGAGTGATTTCCTTTGATACCATTCAGGGTGGCCGTGACCTTTCAGGGTTCTGGGGGGAAGAAAACCCTCTGTAATCACGCAGGGATCGGAAGGCCTCTAGGCTTCAGAAGGATGTCTTATGATCCCTCTTAGGGAACTATTCAGATGAAGGGCAAAGTCATGGGTTATTCAATAATCTACTTGTCCAGAGGTTTTCGTAGCAGAAGAAGGCCACCCTCCAAAAGAAAGAGTTTACATTTCAAATATGCGGCAAAAGGTAAGTTTCAAGACTGTGCATAAAAGCAATACACATAGGTTTAACACATTCACAGGAATTCCAAAAAGAAAATGTGTTTATGTTTGAGTTTGTGAGTGTGTGTGTGTGTGTGTGTGTGTGTGTGTGGTGAGAAACAAGGAATAAAAAAAGTGTGTTTCTAGAAAGAAAAGACCTCTGTTTATCAAGGTCACTGGGCCAACAGACTTGGAACATTTGTATTTTTGACATTCCAGCAAGAGGTCACATTCAGACTAGGGCATTTCTGGCACACATTTTATCCTGCCTATCCTGTCAGCTGACAGCCCTCTCTGCTGTTTCTTATTAAAAGGATGAGAAACATGTGATTTCTACTGAGTGCCTACATATGGGCAAAGAAGAGACCTGATGAATTTATCATAGGTAATTTACTGTTAAAAAAAAAAAAAGAAAAAAGATCACAGTTCAAAAATCACCCTTGTCAGGCAAGTATGGCCTGATAGTTGAGCATCAACCCATGCACCAAGAGGTGATGGATTCAATTTTCAGCCAGGGCAAAGGCCCAGGCTACAGGTTCAATCCCCAGTGTGCGACATGCAGGAGGCAGCCAATCGACAATTCTCTCTCATCATTGATGTTTTTATCTCTCTCTCCCTCTCCCTTCCTCTTTGAAATCAATAAAAATATTTTAAAGTAATAGATGGATGAATGAATGAATGAATGAATGAATGAATGACAATACCGGTTTCTCAGTTGCGATGCAGGAGAAGAAATCACCAGGGTGTATAGGCAAAGGAAATGAAACCACTACCTTGAAGAGATATCTGCACATCCATCAAAAGATGAATGGAGCCAAAACAGGTTTGGTTTAGTGGATAGAGTGTCAGTCTGCAGACTAAAAGGTCCCAGGTTCAATTCAGGTCAAGGGCATGTACCTTGGTTGCGGGCACATCCCCAGTGCAAGAGGCAGCTGATCGATGATTCTCTCTATCGATGTTTCTGGCTCTCTATCCCTCTCCCTTCCTCTCTGTAAAAAAATCATAAAATATTTTTTTTAAAAAGATGAATGGATAAAGGAGGAGGGTGTACACACACACACACACACACACACACACACACACACACACACACCAGAAGAGAGAGCATTATGCTAAGAAAATAAGTCAGACAGAGGAAGAAAAATGCTGTATGATCTCTTATATGGGGAACCTAAAAGGCAAAATCGCAGAAACAGATTAGAGTGGTGTTTGTTGGGTGCTGAGGGTGGGGAAAGAAGGAGATGGTACAATGGTACAAGCTCCCAGTTATAAGACGAGTAAGTTCTGGGGATCTAATGCACAGCATGATGACTATAGTTAACAATACTGTATTATAAACTTGAAAACTGGTAAAAGGGTAAATCTTAAATGCTCTTACCACACATACCAAAAAAATGATAAGTATGTGAGGTCCTGGAGGTAATCATTTCACAACATATATCAAACCATCACATTGTAGACCCTAAACTTACACAATGGTATATATCAGTTATATCTCAATAAAGCTGGGAAAAAAGGGAAATCATCACCTAGCTGGAGTGGTTCAGTGGCTGAGCATCTACCTAGGAACCAAGAGGTCACAGGTAGAGTCCCAGTTGGGGCACAGACACAGGTTTCGGGCTCACTGGGAGATGATGTTTCTCTCAATGTTTCTAGCTCTCCCTTCCTCTCTCTTTCTCTCTCTTAAAACAATAAAAACATATTTTTCAAAAAGAAATCATCTGTGATATTTATAGAATACCCATCCCTGGGCCACTCTCTTACTATGTTGACTTTGTGTGGAGTCCAGAGATATGTGTGGGTTTTTTTAAGTACTCCCTGAGGGAAGTCTCAAAAACTCAATTTCTACCAGCATCTACTTTCAAAAGACAAATATCATCAATGTGCTATTATAGCTCTTCAATGGCCCTTTCATGCTTCAAAAACAGACACCTTTTTTGACACTAAACATGAGGAGTCTTTGGCTCCAACTGCCTTTCCAAATTCTTCTCCTGCCATTTCCTTCGAAGTGCTCCAAGGCCAAACCGCACTGGACTATTGCTTCCGAAACATGTCCTGCATCACTCCCTGGATGTCTTCTGCTTGTTTTGCATCTCTGTTCCCAAAGCCTATATCCTGTCCCCATCTCTCCTCTCATTCTGTTCAATTGTGCCCTGAAATGCCACACATTTCTGCAACCTTTGCTGTCCTGCCTACTGGAACCAGACATCCACAGCATTTTCCTTCTCTCTCATGATATCATTCACATTTATCATGTTCTGTATTCATTCTTCTGTATCCAATGTTGTAAAAATCTGGAGAGCAAGTTGATTAGTTTTAATGTTGTAAATCCAAGACTAATTCTTCACTTTTAGGATATAGTAAGAGCTCAAGATATTAAGATAGAAATGAACAGAAATCAAGATTCCTTCTTCTTCTAGCATACAACATTTATCATGTATTCCTTCTTCTTCTAGCATACATTTATCATGAATCAGTGCTGCATATGAATGTACTTACTCTACATTCCACATGAATTTCTGGTAAGTA